ACCTGTGTTATCCTATCTTTGCAATTCACATTTTCAAGAGTGCAAGGGGAGGATGACACAAACCACATTTTGTGTTCAAGGCGGGGAGCAAGCAAATTGAAATTCAGCCAGGTCTTGTGAGCGCAGAAGCCAATCTTCCAATATGCTAGAATGGTGGCTTAAATTTCCCCTCTGTTTCAATACACCGAAAGAACCAGTTGTGCTTATTCATCATAAGAGACAGCTATTCTTTAAGAAAACTTGTTAGTTTGGCGAAAAAGAATGCATAGAAAATTCAGCCTAGGATTAAAGGGTTGACCTAATGACAAAAAAAAAAGTCCTCAGTAAGAACAAAAGGTATTATTAGAAAAAAAAGTCGGAAAAATTGGGAGGGTAACTGTAAAACTTTAAATCCTGCTTGATATTCCACTTTTTTGGTGCTGCCGTCATAGTTATTGCTACCATTGTTGAACAACAAAGAGAAATAGCATGCTGGTGGGAGGACAGGCAAGCATGCAGAACTCCCTAAGGTGATGATGAGAAGGTGGTGAAGTGGCGACACAAATCACTAGACATACTAAATCAGCAGAGAAAAGGATAAGGATAAGAAGAGGAAATTAGATGTGGAGGCTTAAGAGAGAATTGAGGAATGTAGCTAACAGAGTGAGAAAAAAAGATGATGTAAGAAAAACTCAATATGAAATCAGCTATGCTCGAATTCAGGAACTTGGTTGTAATTTTAGAGCGACAAAACAACAAAAGGCATCAGCAGGGGCATGTAATGACATGGTGATCATTGTGATCTTCTGACAAGCAAAGTCAATGAGGAAGCCAGATTCACTTAACAACCATGTTACTAACTTAACAACTACAGTGATTCACTTAACAAATGTGGCATAGAAGGTCATAAAGTGGGGCAAAATTCACTTAAATGTTTCACTTAGCAACAAAAATTTTGGGCTTAACTGTGGTCGTAAGTCAAGGACTACCTGTATTTCTGCATCCTTCTTATTGAGAAACTGATCAAAAATACTAGGAGGCAGTCAAAACATTCTGCACAATTCAATATTTTACTTATCTGATGCATTAAGTTTCATTCAGATCTCTCTCTCTCTCTCTCTCCCTTCCTCCTCCCTCCCTCCCTCCTTCTCTCTGTATGTGTATGTAAAATCCAAACTACTCACCAGACTTAAAAGTCAAATGTGTTGTAGGATAACAATTATACTTCTGCCTTTTATCTCAAGATAATTGCAATCTTCATTGGATAGTCCTGAGTTTGAAAATACATTCAAAACTAGATTTAGCCTATAATTTTGGGTACATCATTTATATTCAGGGAATAAGACCCTCTGAATTCAGGTTTTATCTCTGAGAACGCTTGCACAGGACTGAACGTTTAAATAGTTTAAAACAAAATGTTAGATCCAGAAAAAGGAAATCCTTTTGCTGTAAGGGAAGTGAACTGAGCAATTTTAATAAGACACCTGTAAATAAGGCTGCCTTTTTTTAATGTGCAGATTTTTTATTGACAAACCTAGTGACATTTGAGATGTTATACACAGCAGATGGGGTCAAAGCAGTCAACATCTTACGAGACTGCAAAGCTAAGCAGCTCTCCACACAAATCTAAACAAACAGATGCACAAATTAAAGCAAAACAAATCTGAGTAGTTAGATAAACTCACAAGCAAGAATGAATACTAAACCATGATGCTCAAGCTGCAATAATAATAATAAATACCATAAGATATCTGGCTCTGTAAAGTAAAATATTGAAAAGAAATCTCTCTCTTTCCAGTTAAGAAATTAGAAATATAATTTTGCCATTCAAGTTTAGCCAAAAGTCCAAATTATATGTAAACCTGATTTTCATATGCATAAAATTGAAAACAAAAATTAAATTTCTAACCAAAATGTAAAATTCTCAACATGAAAATTTCTAATTTTTTTACTGTTTTAAAAAACGGTATTAACCTCCTGCATACGAAGTAGCAATAAAGATAATAAGTCTTTAAATCCAGTTGCCTTTTAGAAAAAAAGCACTTTGGGACAACCATGACCTGGATGATTGAGAATCTCCATAGACATCTAGATTGTAAGAGCAACTTTGTGCCTTTAAATTAGGTTTTGATTCCTTCTTGTACCTTTTGGAAGTGATTTATCTTTACCTGGGTAAACCTTTCCTAAGACCAAGAAAGTGTGACTGGCCAGAGCGAGAGCTGAAGATCTCCCAGTTTCTAGCCTGATGCATTAACCACTACACAAAATTAGTTTTCATTTATTTCATTTCATTTTTATTTACTTGGATGGTATAAAATTAATAAAATAAAATGTACTTATTAATTTTATGCCACCCATTTCCCTACAAGATGGCTCTGGGTGGTTTACAAATAGAAATAATTAAAACATTAACACATTAAAATTACACAGATTACAATATTAAAAAAAACAATAATCTGAAGCTAAGACAGCTGAGACGAATGGACGGGGATAAGGTCTTTTCACCCCACCAGCTACCTTTGGAGGTGAAAGACCCCACGCCCCTAGGGCTCCACGCTAAGCCGCAAAGCCAGGTTCTAGTTACATTCCAGAAGGCCAAAAAGGAGGGGGGCATAGTAAACCTAGTATTTGTGTATTCCTCAGTTTTCATTTTGAGGGGCTTTGAGATCAGAAATTTTAGCTCCTCCCTTTGATTTACTGAGTTTGACCTTTCATTCACACTAGAAGTTACTCTTAACAGTCTGATGTTAAGCATACTAATTGCCTAACTAATGACTGATATTCTTCTATTTTATATCATCTATTGGGGTATTTTAGAAACAAAGAAGGTAAGGATATGTATATGTCATCTTAGAAAGAATTACATATATGTCATTCCATTTCAACATAAGAATATAGTGGAAATTAAATAAGTAGATAGAAAGAAAATACTGATTTTCTACTGCAAATACCTAAGAAATCAACATAGTTTTTGCAAAGCCAGAATTTCCAGCTTATTTCATATTTTGGGTGCAGTATATTTTAACCAAATACTTAAAATCTGTTTCAACCAAAGACAGTTAAAGCATGCAATACTGAAATTGAACAGATATATTAGCTGATGTTTCCATTCTCCCTCAAGCGAGCATATTGGTGTGTTATACCAAATATAAGTTAAAATGTGAAACATAAGCTGCCACCTCAAAATGATTGCCACATCAAAATAAGGAGAGAGAAACCAAATATGTTAACCAACTTATTTGAAGGAGGAGGAGGAAGGGGAATATTATAACTCTCCTCTAATGAAGAAATTGCACATTTCTGAGTTATATGGATATTTTTATTCCCAATTCAATTTTTAGACAGAAATTAAGCAAATCAGTACATTCTGCTATGCCATCTGCCAGACAGTTTTCAGTTCAACATTGTATTTCCAGACTGTGTATCTTGAAGTCTGAAATCATTATGTTGCTGCCAAGTAAGGTAGTAATATATGTGTTTATGGCAGAATTGAGAGCAAGGGAGAGCAGAAATGAGGAAATGTCACTTGTTATAAATATGGAACCCAGTTCAACTTTTGAGGTGAGCATAGCAAACTGCATTTCTAGATATGAACACTGGTGATTTGACATATGTGAATGAAGGAAGTGGTTTTAGAGCCATATCACCTACTATAAACCAAATGGGGGATGTATAGAAAATGTGTATTCCTTTTCCCTTTGCCTTTTCCTTCCCTTCCCTTCCTTTCCTTTCCTTTCCTTTCCTTCCCTTGACTGCATGAACAGCATGCTAATACTAGACAGGTATTTCAATGCACTATTATTTTGATCAATTTATAGATGCAATCCTACAGACCTCCTGTGAGCCTGTGACCAGATAGACCTCCAGTAGCTAGAAACAATCCATTCCATATTCTAATAAGAATTAATGGGAGGTTTTTGCCACCACAATCCAATTATAATATATTTTGCTATTAATGCCATAATTTTATTTACCTGCTGTAACTAGACCTAGTGAGAAACTTGTTTTTATATTTTCTAGGAGAAAGCAGCCATATATCTTTATAATTCGTGGTACAACGATCATTTAGTATCTAGCCTGCTCCAGCCTACTTAATTCAGCTGATCACATCCATCATTATAACTTTAATTATTACAAACTGTAAGAGGGTGAGTCCTTATTAAATCTAGTCATACCTCTTGTTCCATTTTTTTAACTTAGCACAGAGCCTGAAATCGATAATAGTGAAACAGCTTGCTCAATCTTGTAATTTAAGTTGGTCATAATAAAAATTGTGCTATTGCTGCTTTGGATTGATACATTTTTTTATTCATTTCATGGTACTAAAATCTACTTTAATAATACCATTCATTTCATGGTACTAAAATCCTTTAATAATACCTGATCACCTGATCATCACAAAGGCACATCTCCTGCTTGGGTTTATGCCTTTAGATGAAAATGACTGGGTAATATTCTTATTCCATATTAATCTTGAGCAGAGAAGAGCCATAAAGAAAAGTTTTTCTCAATCATGTTTTTGCCTTTTTGGAATGTATTATAGGTCACAAAGACACACAAGTAAAATGTACCTATTGCACAAGTACCCATTTTAGATTTCGGATTTCCTGAACCTGCTTCATAAACTTTTGAATTTTTTTGTATCTGTTCAACTTAATGGAAGAAATAAAATATCATAAATATTAATTACATGCATATATTCATTTTTATATTTTATTTACTATCCTGAAAAGATCTTGGTTTTCGTTTATCTTACTTTATCTTACATTAAAAGATTTATTATTCAAGTTCTCTCCCAAGCTTCTAATGTAAATTTTCCAAGAAAGAGAATTTATAATGTAAATAACAACAATCTTTGAACTTTTATCTCTGAACAAATTTAGATAAAATTATATTATACAACACTTTGAACAAGATTGCATTCTACAAATCATGTGAAGTTCATAAACAAGCACATAATACACTTTAGGAACCATTCCTAAATTGAAACTTTGAAGAAAATGAAATGTTTTACTGCTTACTTTTAAAATGTTTTGAGTTTCATTCCACTTATTGGTCCATTCTTTGGTAAGCTCTTGCACCTACAAAATAAACCAAATTAATACACATAGGTTATATCCAAATTTGAACTGATTACCAATTATTTTCTGTTTTCCAAGTATTTGGATTATTCACTCAACATTACTGTATCATGAGTAATTCTCATGGATCTTATTCAGTCCTACTATTTTTAAGACATGTATTAAAATGCACAATTAAAACAAAAGTCCATTTTTATTTCAATATGGACACTAAAAGCTTTGCTGCAAAATTATTCTTACTACATTAAATAGAAGAGTTTACAATGTAAACGCAGATTGTCATGCCTGCTGGGGTTTATTTTGAATCAATGATGAAAGAAATCATATATGATGAAATCATAGCGTTTATTTATATTTATAGTGAATTCATTTATACCAATCAGTATATATAAATTACTAACTAATATAAGTATCTTTTTCTTACTCATGAAAGCACATAGAATTAAATGTCTGAAGTTAATGGGTTAAGCAAGTTTATAGGGGGTCTACACCTGGATCATCTTGCCAGGGCTCAGAAACTAAGTGGATCAAAGATATGCATACATAAGTATTCAGAGATTGCCAGGAACAGGCACCAAAGCAGCTGAACAAGCCTCGAAAATGAGAAGGCTGTTATCAGTTTGAAAACAGGTCCTTTTTTGTGCTCTTGCACATATCTTCTCTCAAGGGTTTATGGTGGATAGTGGTAAGGAAAGCTACCAGAGAATCTCAGAGTTGAAAGTTACATTGGGAAGTTGAAAAAGTATCTTGGGAAACTACTTCTGTATTATTGCCATGAAAATAGTCAATTCCGATTAAAGCACCATTATAGTATTGTGGTTAAGCTAGGCACCTTTTGTATAAGAATGTGATGTCATCATAATAATACAAAAGGGATGTTGCTGTTCTTCGTTCCCTCCCTGTCTGGACATTCACTGAGGACAATCTTAGTTAAAATATTTGAGGGCTCTTGGAAGTAAAAGATCAACAATTTTCAGCTAAAACAGTTATTGGCTGATAATATTCTTGATATTTTGATTAAGCTCAATTCAAGTAAATTCCATTGACTATGCTTTCTGAAAATTTGAGAGGCTCAATTGAATGTGTGCATGTACACACGCCTGCACACACACACACAATTCAGCATGTCTGGTAAGCACAAGATTGGAAAAAACTGAGTTGAATTATGATGAAATGGATAAACATAACACACAATTTCATTCAAATGACATATTAATATTTGCTTTAAATGAAAGGTTGAGAAAGGTTGTTTTTTACGAATTCAAATATTTTGCTTAAGTGCATTGTTGTTCTGTTTGTATTTTTGGCTTTCAAAATATGAACACATTTTTCATGTTTTCACTGGATTGAATGGCAAAATAAAACCTAATAATGAATAAAATAATAATAAAAAAATGTTTGTTAAAGTACAATGGGAAATACCCGTCAAGAATGGTGCCGACTGCCTGCCTAGCAAAATGTGCACAAAGCGAACCAGCAGTAACATAGGCAGCAACCCATCCCTGGGTGACAGGTCATCCTCAAGAAGGTCTACTTACAGTGATAGTTCACAATGACTTGTTGGCACATAATCAATTTATATATACATAGGGACTAGTCTAAAACTGTTGGTGTTTGAGGTATTAATAAGGTAAAACTTACTCGTGCTTCATTCTGTTGCAGTTTTTCTTCCATACTCAAAGCTGTTGGAGAATCCAGAAGTGCAATCTAGTTAAATAGATAAAACAAAATATTAGAATAAGAAGACACATTAAATATGCTCAAAAGGTAAAGGTTCCCCTTCCCATCTCAAGGGGGTGGTGCTTATCTCCGTTTCTAAGCCAAAGAGCCAGCACTGTCTGATGACAATTCCGTGGTCATGTGGCCGACATGACTAAACATCGAAGGTGCATGGAACACTGTTACCTTCCCACCAAGGTGGTCCCTATTTTTCTACTTGCATTTTTAAATGCTTTTGAACTGCTAAGTTGGCAGAAGCTGGGGCAAGTAATGGGAGCTCACTCCGCTACACGGCTCTAGGGATTCGAACCACTGAACTGCCAACCTTTCTGATCGACAAGCTCAGCATCTTAGACACTGAGCCATCGTGTCCCCTTTAAATGTGTTCCATGGTATTCAATGTTACTGTTCTGAAAATAACTGTACAATTAAACTTTATATGGGAGAGAAGGAGATTTATGGCATGTGATATGCATGATTTTTTGTTACAGGCTACTTTTTCCTGTATTCAAAGCATCTATAGCAGAGTTCCCCAACCTTTCTGGCTTTGCAGATCGGGAAGGGGGGGGGGAGAGGATGGTTCCATAAAAGTGGTAGGGAAGTGCATGCACATGTGCTCACCAGCTGCTCACACATGGGGGTGCATGCACACACACATGCTCACCCACCATGTCTGCGGCCCGGTTCCAAATGGCTAAAGGCCCAGTAATGGGCCACAGCCTGGGTGTTGAGGATCCCCAATCTACATTATATTTCTGTATAGTTGTGGAACTGTATATGTACTTACTCATTTTTCTTTCTAAAATGAAATACAATAGCAAACAAATTAAAGAATTAATTAACTGAACTGATTGGATTATCTAAGGTGGATATGTTCTTCTGTAGGGAACACAATCCTTATTTTGAAAGCATAATCTATTTGAAACTCCTGCAGTATCTCTGAGGAAAAGATTGTGAACTGTTTTTTAAAAAGTCTAGAACTGATGTACACACATTAGTATAATGTAAAACAGAAGATGCTATTAAAGATTGTGAAATCAGTGCTCCCTAACCTGGTTCCCCTGAGCAAGCAGAGTTTTTAGTCTGGCAATTTCAGCTCGTAGTTCACGAATTAGCTTGACGTTTGGATCTTCATTAATGGTAGGTTTGTTGATTATGTTTTTAGCTCGGTTTGCATAGCGAAGGGTGCTCAATGTTTCTCCGTAATTGACATCAGCAGGTGATATAGCTGAGAAAAAAGATTTCAAAATTACCTGTTATCAATACCAAGTTTCATTTAGAAGTCTTAGAAACTCCTTATGAGTAGAGAAAAAGCAAATGGTTTATATTGCTGCTATGGTCAGAATGGCATTTATGAAAAATTATTAATGTAGTTGTCATTTCGACACATGGCTCTAATGGGAAAATTATTATATTTCACTAGCTTGGAAATGACTTCAAATGTCTACGAAAAAGTATGATTTTCTTACAATTCTCTAGGACCTCGAACCTTATTATGAAAGGTATTATGACAAAAATGGACTCTTCATTATTTGTTCTCCACTTCTATGTAGGCCCATATTAAAGCTTAGACATAAAGGTTACATTATTAAGAGTAATATAACAATATTGTATTCTCAGTACAACTGTTTAATGATCATACTCTATGCCATGCTAGTCAATTTTAATCTACAGAAAATGTTTCTAAAATAGATAGAAGAACATTCACATAAATGAAAACACACTTACTTGCAATCATTATTGTTTTAGAATTTCCTCCTAGGCTATCTTTCAAAAGCCATGTCAACACAGAATCCCTGTAAGGCACAAATACTTGTTTTTTCTTTATAAGAGGGTTTGAGGCATCCTGAGATATATCAGCTATGAAAAAAGAAACATGCCATTTTTATAGAGGGATAGATAATGAGTTAATTCAGTTTTGCAATGAATTAAACATAAAGCAAGGGATATACCTAAGGCAGAAATTACATTTCCCAGAGTAACTAGGGATTTGTTTATATTTCCTCCTTCTTTTAATCTGACACCTGTGGCACCAGTGGCATCTGCTCTCTCACTTCCAGCTAAGTCTACCAAATGTATCTTGCTGACAGTCTCGCATGGCATTTCAGTGTCAAACTTAGCCTACGGAAAAATAACAAGAACCAAATACAATCAATATCTTGAATATTAAAAACAAGAGTTGCAGAGGTGGTAGCAAAACATTTTATATGTTTCAATTTTAATGTACTGTATATGTTAGTATATTAGAGACATCATCTTTGAATAATATTTTAATCCCTTTAAATTGTACTTTTAATTTCAAATATATTAACTAAGCTAAAAAGAGATCAAATATACATTGTTTTTCTTTTCTAAAATATACTTGCTTCAAAAAGGTATGTATAAAATGCCTGGGAATTAACATATTGAACATACCCAAATATTTTCATTGGTAGCTCTTAAAATAAGAGTTTGAGTTTCCACAGTGAATTCCCATTCATAAAGAAAGATTCTGGTACTGCAAAGATTCCCAATGGGTTTTCAAGTTATATTTTTAAAATAGCAGTTTTTAAACAATATATTTGCTCTTATAACAAGCTATTGATTGACACTGACCAAACTATGTAGTTATGCAATGAAATTTCATACACACACACATATAAAATGAGTTTAAGTTTAATAAACTTATATGCTGCCCAATCCCGAAGGACTCCGGGCGGCTTACATAAAAAACAATTTAAAAAGTACTAAAAAGTATAAAAAGTAAAGAAAACAAAGCAGGTTAAAACACAACACACTCAACCGTAGTGGGGCTGGACCTCATTCAAGAGGTCAACAGCCCAAGGCCTGCTGGAAAAGCCAGGTCTTAATAGACTTTTTGAAGGCCGCAAGAGTGGGGAGAGTCCGAATCTTTGGGGATAGATCGTTCCATAGGGCCGGACCAGCTACAGAGAAGGCCCTCCCCCGAGGAGCCGCCAAACAACATTG